TGTGGAATCATAGAATCATAGAGTTTCAGGGATTGGAATGGAGCTTAGAGATCATGCAGTCCCACCCCCTGCCATGGGCAGGGACACCTCGCACCAGGGCAGGTTGCTCAAGGCTCATCCAACCTGGCTGTGAACACTGCCAGGGTTGGGGCAGCCACAGCCTCCCTGGGCAACCCAGGCCAGTGTCTCACCACCAGAACAGGGAAAACTTCTTCCTGATATCTAGTCTAAATTTACCCCTTTCAATTTCTCCCCATTGCTCCTTGTCCTGTCACTGCAGTTCCTAACAAAGAGTCACTCTGCAGCTTCCCTGGAGCCCCTTCAGCTCCTGCAGGTTGCTCTGAGGTCTTCACACAACCTTCTCTTCTCCACGCTGAGCAGCCCCAGCTCTCAACTTGTCCTCATAGGAGCCTGGGAAGTTGGGTTGTGGTGCTGCAGACAACTGTCCTGACGAATTCAGTTTTCCCCCTCCTGGATTATTCTCACTTGTTTGTGACTCAATGGCATCTGTTGGGATTTGCCTTCTTCCTTTGGAGCGTGCCTGGGATGTTTTTTGGTGTGTGGATGATCTGTCATGGCAGCAGGAGCCTGGGAAAACTGTTGTGTTCTTTTGCAGTGATGCAAGAAGTACTTTTGATCTTGGATTTCAGACACTGCACTCAGGATATAGGAAGTATAAGTGAGGTATCAAACATGACATTGATGGTGTCCACTGGTGAGCAAAGGTCTGTGTGTGTCTTGATCACTTCCTCTTTCAGAAGGCAGAGGAAGATAATAAAACAGGAAGAGATGGAGAACAACTTCTCTATCAATTAAACAAACACTAATAAAACACCTGAAAGCACAGGGAAACTCAGTGTGGGATGAGGTCATGTAAAACCTTTGTTGCTTAGAAGCCAAATAGGGCCATAACCCTTTTTCCTGTTTGAACATCCACCTTCTGCACAGGGACTTTGGCTGCAAAGTGCAATTCAGGGCAAGAGTTTAGGACAGGCTGGTGACGTTTGGTGTCTGTGTGGCTGCTGAGAGAATGTCGGTTTGCCTTGTGCAGGGTGTGTGACATGGGGCTTGCGTGGAGCTGTCATCACCCACGGAGTGTTGTGTGTCCCCTGATGGCTAATTCTCACCTCACCTTCAGGGGAGGAACTTCATGGCTTCTTCTGGAGCTGTTAGACATGCCAGAAAGGTGATGCTGGCAGGCCAGGCAAATCCTCCAGGCTCTTACAGCATGGCCTTCCTCCTTGCTGAAGTGCAAGAAGTAAACTCCAACACAATTCACTGCCCAGCACTGCTTTTGCCTAAAATATCTAGTTTTCCAATGAATGGGAAAATTCACTTTGGTTGGGCTAGAGTGGAGGAAGAAGGATTTTTGCCCCATGAGAAATCAGCATGGTCTTGTTTGTACCTTCTGGTCTGTGGGGGTTTTTTGTATCATTTGGATGTTAAACTAAAGGAGATAATTAAGTACGATGTTAGGGTTCCGTAATTGTTGTTCATGTATCATATACACATTTATGTACATGAGAACAAGTGTCTAGCTTTGTTGGAACACCTCCACTGAGACACTAGTGGCAAAAAGAGTGTCTTTAAGGATGTTTTCCATTACCCTGGTAACCACTGTGATTTTTCCCCTCCTTTCTGAGATGGATGTGCTTATGCATACGTCTTTAATAATGTGAGAATTTTATGTTCTTGTAGAAGATGCTCTTAATACATGAGTTGCATACTCTAATTTCTAAGGGGAAAATGTCATTTTCTTAATGAATTGACCAATTCTTTCCCCATCCTGCCATCTCTTATCAACTAAACTGGAGATCAATATGTGAAAACGAAGCGTTTTGGAGGTCGTGGCTTGGTGTGATGGGAGGCCTGTGTGGAACCCTTTGGCTGGTGATTTCTTTGAAGGTGGTGGGTGACTGGCTTTTTTTATTTATCTGTTTTGTCTTTTAGCTTACTCTTGGCGCTCTTCTGCCTTGCATTGCTTTTTGTATGCTCATGGCAATTATTCATGGCAGGGAAAACATCTGATGAGGTGCAGCTGGACAGAGCTTGGGTCATGCCCACACACTAAGTCTTACTGTCATACAAGGCTGAATGGGAGAAAGGCTCTTTGGTACTCATCAAAATACAGTCAGGTAACATGTTAGGTTAGTAATGATGATAATCTGTGAGTAGCTCCACTTCAGTTGTCCCCAGCCATCTGATGTGTGTGGAGGTGATGTTCTTAGCTGTGAACCTGAGCCTGCATGTTGTTTTCCTGCTAAAGGCAGTGTCTTGGGAGTGTAAGCCAAGTCCCTGACTGGAGTGACCGTGCAGGTTATTACCTGTCTGATGTTCAGCCACTTCCACAAACCCCTGAGCATGAAAACGAGCTTTGGGCCCACACCCACTGAGCAGAACTTTGATTAGGTGCTGGTTCTCACCTGTTTTCCTCTAATGAGACAAATGATTTATGCTGTCTGTATCCAGGCTGGTGACTCAGGCTGGGTGAGTGGCTCCTGCTGGAGCAGTGTTTCCCAACCTGTCTTACCAGGGGTATTGACTGACTGGGTTTAGGAGAAGCCTCAGGCTGTTTCCTGCACAGGCAGAGCTACGACAGTGCCTTTTGCATCTAAACTTTGAGTCTGGTTGCTTGTTTGGTAGGAAAATGTTTCCTTGTGTGTCATGGGCTGCTCCCGAGGTGGGAGGACCAGAGTTTGAGGAGTGCCATCGACAGAGCAGTGCGCTTAGGCACAGTGCACCAGGCAGGACAGGGCTAGGTGCAGCTTCTGAAGAACAGTGGGATGCACTGGGGGAAATTAGGGAGAGCCTGTGAGCAAGTAGGGGTACTGTGTCCTGGGGAAGGAGAGGCTTTGTAACAGCACTGTCCTCTGCTCTGCAAGTGCTGTGTGACCATCGTGTTCCGTGCAAAGCTCTTGAGGCTCTGCTGCATGGTGTGTGCTCAGGCAGGAGATCCCAGGTGCTCCTTCCGCACTATCACCTTGTCTGAAAATGCTCTAGTTTGGTCCCTTTATAAAACTACATCTCCCAGCAGGCAGCAGGATCACATCTTACCCAAGCATGAGATCACTTCCCTCAGAGACATCTTGTCGGGCGCAAAGCACTTTCTGGGGGCAAAGGAGGTTAGAGACAGAGGAATAGCAGAATATCTGCAAGTATGGCTGGGCATGAAGCAAACACAGGTATGATCCCATGGGATTGCAGGGACTGTGTCATAGAATCAACCGAGTTGGAAGAGACCTCAAGGTTCAGGTATACTACATCCACAGCCTTCCCCTCATCCACCAGGGTGAGTCACCTGATCATAAAAGGAGATCAGGTTGGTCAGACAGGACCTGCTCTTCCTAAACCCATGCTGGCTGGGTCTGATCCCTTGTCCATCCTGGAGGTGCTGTGTGATTGCACTTAGGATGATCTGCTCCATGACTTTGCCAGACACTGAGGTCATCAGAGAGGTAAAGCTCTTAGCATTTGGCACTTTGGGCGTATGTGGAACCTCTTCCATGCTGCATGTCTGCTCTCATCAAGGTCATCTTACAGGCAGGAGAGTTTGCAGAATGAGTCCATGTGAAAAATGGTTAGAATTTTGCTAGGAATCTGTAGGAAATCATATTTCCTTGCAGCTTGGGTTTGTCTTGAGATATTCGTACAAAGCCAGGGTAGAAATGAAGATGTTTATGTACTTCCTACATGCAAATGAAGCATAGCTGGTGTACCCTGGGGACAAGCAGGACTCAGACATCAGATGTCTGGGTTTGTGCTGAGGTGGAGTCCTGATGCCTGGGCTGAGGTGGTGTTTCCCATCGTGGTGGCAACAGGCTTTTTGTTTATGTTGCAGAAAACGAGCAGCAAAATCCTGTTCCTCAGTGGCAGTGAGAAGTGGGGCTGTGCAAGGATGGAGGTGCTGTGCTTGCACCTGTCTGAGCAGGGCTGGATCAGCAATGGGCTCTGTCCATTCCAGCCACCTCAAGGCTTCATCCAACCTGCCTTTGAACACTGCCAGGGTTGGGGCAGCCACAGCCTCCCTGGGCAACCTGGGACAGTGTCTCACCACTCAAATACATGTGCATAGGCTAAGAGTGGGGCTGAATCTGTGGCAGAAGACATCTTGAGAGGGGCTGGGTGAGACTTCACAGCACCTGTGGCCTGAGCATATGAGTGGGAAGTGAACTGCTTCATGGTCCACATGGAGCAAGCAGTGTGCAGGTAGGTATGGGACTTGGTTGAGGGAGAAATCTCTTTGACCTCCCCCTTGTAGAGAAAGGTAGTTGGAAGGGAGAAAACAAGACTTTTTGCTCTGCTGTTGGTTTTGTTTGGGGTTTTTTCCAGTGAAATGGTCTTGTTTTTTCCAGGTTTTTTTTCCCTAACAGCCTATAGAGTTTGTGCATTGAGCATTTAATTCTGCAGCGAGTAGGCAGTGACTCACAACAAAACCCCAGCTTGCAGCTAGGAAGCAATGAAACAGCAAACTAAGGAAAACTCCAGAGAAAGTCAGACTGAGGTGAGCTCAGGTAGGGTATTTGGGTTTCTCACAACAGAGTGTAACTTAAAACATGTTTTCTCTGTTTCTTGTAATGCAGAACTCTGACAGTAACCACAGGGGTAATAACACATTGGTGCTTGGCCATGAACCTAGTTACTAAGGTTGCAAGATGAGTATTTGTGACTACAACCACAGTCCCAGCTTTTAGAGCAGAGATGGAGCTAGAGCAAGTCCATGCCAGGAATGTTTTACTGGTGTGCTGGGGAGAGCATCAACCAAGTGTGCAAAGGGATGCAGCACTTGGGGAAGGGCAGCAGAGTGCAAAGCCACCTGAAATGTGGCTGAAAAGTACTGAAATGTGGCCACAGTGTGCTGAACGAGGCTGCTCCCTAATTACCAGAGCCTTGATGGTGATTTCTGTCCAGTGAGCAGCTCAGCTGAAGGAAGGACTGCAGGAGGCTGCCCAGGGTTGCTGCAGACCCTGCACTTTGAAGACTCTGTGAGTTTGGGTTTGGTTTTGTTTTGGGATTTTTTTGGTGGGTTTATTTTTACCCCTCAGGTTTCCTGCAGCAAGTTTCCCAGCTCAGGGGAGTAGGTTAGCTGCCTTGTTAGCAACCAGCTGGCTGCTCACTGATAAAGGATTTGTGCCAGCATAGCTTTTCTGTGCCAGGGATCCCACTTGAGAGCCACACAGGCTGTGTAGCCATGGCCTGAGGGGCTATCCAGCTGCTCTGTCTGGGTTGTCTCAGGGCAGGGACAGTGCTGGGCCTCCTGGTGCAGAGCCTGGACAGCTGGTCACAGCCTCCCTGTGGTACAGTGCAGGCTGGGATTTGGCTTCTAAACCCTCTGGGAATGGGAAAGATGTGGAAACTGTCCATCCTTGAGTTTGGAGGAATGGAGGGGGTTCACGTGGTGGAATGGAGCTGAGTTTTGACCCCAGGACCTGGACATGGCAGATTTGGCTGGAGTGGCTTCCTGAAGGAGAGGATCAAGATGATCAGGTTGCTCATGTGCCTGTGGCTTTGTTTCCCAAGCTGTTGGGACTCACGAGCATCATGGCTGATTTCTGCAGGTTGGTTGCAAAAGTGATGTGCCAAGAGTTGATATCTTTGAAAAGGGAGGTACAGGCTCCTTCCTCAGTGAAACTCCTCTTGACAGTGACTGCACCTCTGAACTTTGAAACAAAGCAGCTCAGCAAAGGTCTTTTCCTCTTTAAACCTGGCTTTTTGTTGCTACAGAATTCTTGCATTTTCCTGTCCCAACACAGCATAAAAAGCAAATTTCAAATCACCACTTTTTTTTTTTTTTTTAATGGACTCAGCCTCTCTCCTGGCTGCCTCTTCTCTTGCTTTTCCACTCTCCAGCCCAGCCTTCTGGCACAGAAGGCTGCCAGGGAGAAAAAAGGACTTACCTTCTGTGTTGGTCTCTGAATAGTGTACTAAGAAGAGCTCTGCATGAAATGAGATCAGGATGTCTCTACTCCCGTGCACTTCACTCTCTGCTCCTTATTCCCACCAACACTTCTGCTGCTCTTGGCTTCTCCAAGCAACATGGGAACTAAAAAACTCACATGGCTATCCAGTTTGGAAAACTGATGGTCTTTTGGCCATGTTGTTTGCCCAGGTGCCATAGACTTCAGGATAGACAGCTACATCATTTCAGATGGCTGGAATTCCAGCTCTTTGGAATTGAGACCATCTCATCTAGTCAGGCACCTCCAGCCAGGATGCTGCACAGCAGGGCAGTGGGGTCAAGCTGTGGGTGCTGGAAACTTGGCTTCTCTTGGTTTATAACCGAGTCTGAAGGGTGGGAATGGCTAGAGCCATTCCTTTCAGTTCTCATTTTGGGCTTTTTTTATTTTTTTTGCGAGATGCTGCGAGCAGAAGAGAAGGAAGTGCCCTGTTAAAGCACCGTGGTGACAGAGAGCATCCTGCTCCTGGGATGCTGACCCAGGAGAGGGCAGCAGCAGTCCAGGCTGCAGGCTCTTCCAGCCTTTCCAAAGCTCTGCTCTTGCTCTCCACGGTGGGAGTTGAGCCTGCAAAAAGCCTGGAAAGAAATGCAGTGTCTGCAGGAGGGAGTGGAAGGCAAACACCAGGGAAGCCGGTTCCTAAGCAGAAGTGTAGAGGGATGGGGTTTCTTATAGCTCTTTTGGCCTTTTGTTATCAGATCACTGATCAGTGTGTTAAAGTCTTTGCTGCACCAGGAAGTAATGTTACGCTCCTTGGTTGCTCTGGTACGCTGGCATTGCTGTATGGGTTGTGGGAACACTTTCCCAACTCCTAGAGAAGCTGGTAGGGAATGCACAGGCTGGCAGGATGCTCCCTGCAGAGTCTGGCTCTGACCATAGGGTTTTATCACCTATTTCCTAGTGAACTCTCATGTTTTCTGGTGTTCCTTCGCTTGCAAAAAATGTTACGCTCCTTGGTTGCTCTGGTACGCTGGCATTGCTGTATGGGTTGTGGGAACACTTTCCCAACTCCTAGAGAAGCTGGTAGGGAATGCACAGGCTGGCAGGATGCTCCCTGCAGAGTCTGGCTCTGACCATAGGGTTTTATCACCTATTTCCTAGTGAACTCTCATGTTTTCTGGTGTTCCTTCGCTTGCAAAATGCTTCAGGCTAGTGAACTCTCATGTTTTCTGGTGTTGCTTCGCTTGCTTCAGGATAAAGCAGAGTGATTAGCAGCCCATTGCTGATGTGTCTGCTGGATTTCCCAGCCCATGTCTGTGGGAGAGTAAGTCCCACCAGTGGTCTGTTTTACCCAGGAAAGCTGCTGTTCCCCTCCTTTGGCATTCCAGGGATGGCCTCTCTGCTCTTCCTCCTCAGTCAGTCTTTTTACCTTTGGGACTGAGCACAATGGAACTCTGATCAAGCAAATTTTTACCCACAGCATCACTTTTTTAGGTCCTCATTTCTCCCTGCAGCTGATTTCTCCCCGTTTCCTTGGTCTCCAAAACGAACAGGAATGGTGCATACTCAGTGCCTGAGAAAAATCAGGCCAGAACATCAGAGATGTAATTATCATTTGGTGGTTATTTAGTCTGAGATTTCAGGCTTCTCCTTCCTTGTGTGCAGAGGGGAAGGGTCTTTCCCTTCAGATCAGGCTGCAGAGAGGAGTCAGACAAGGAGCACGTGGAAGAGTGCTATGTGTAAGGCTGGGAGCAGGTTTGGACACAGACACACTTTCCATGGCTGTTTGTTGTTTTCCATGTCCCCTTGCACCTTGGAGCTGGCACTGCTCTGGAGAAAAGCATTGGGCTGTTTGAGGTGTTTTGTGTTCTCCTCCTGCCAGCTGCAGAGCACAGAGCCCTGAGTTTGCTTTCTTCCTTTCTTCTTCCTCCACAGAGACTCCCCAGCTGAACCCTGTGATGGAGCCCCTGTCCTGGATGCTGGGCACCTGGCTCTCAGACCCACCTGGAGATGGCACCTTCCCTACAATGAAGCCCTTCCAATACCTGGAGGAAGTGCACATCTCCCACGTGGGACAGCCCATGCTCAACTTCTCGTAAGTCTGTGTTGGCAGCAGCTGCTGGACCAGAGCAGGCACAGCTCCAGGGAGGTCTGTTGGTTGTGTTTCTTTATCAATGGCAAACACATTTTCACCTACCAAATGAGCTGGTGTCATGGTGTGTGACTGCACAGTCTGACTTGCCTCTTCCTTGGAAACTTGTGATTCATTGGCATTCTTTGTGGGACTCTCACAGATAGAACAAACAAGGGAGCTGCACCTCCCTCTTCCAGTGTGAGCAAAGGAGGTGTTTGAGACAGAGCATGGCTTCAGCATCTGTCTGAGTTCCTGAGGAGTTTCTGAGCTAGCTCTTAGAAAGACCCGGGAGCTGTGGAGAAGCCTGAACATAACTAACAAACTCCAGCTCCAAGAAACAGCTCTGCCTGCAAAGTAACTGTTTTGCCACATTTACATCTCCTGACCAAGAAGTGCTGTCAGTCTTCTACTCTTCCAAATAATACTGCAGGAACTCATGTGATTATATAAGAAGAAACCAGGCCAAACAGTGTCTTTTCAGTGCACCAAACATCAGCTCTTGTGTCCTGATTTCCCCTCAGGTTCAATGCCTTCCACCCGGACACCAGGAAGCCCATGCACCGGGAATGTGGGTTCATCCGCCTCAAACCTGACACTAACAAGGTGGCCTTCATCAGTGCCCAGAACACAGGTACAGGGTGATGAGACACTGGCAGGGGCTGCCCAGGGAGGTGGTGGAGTCACCAGCCCTGGAGGTGTTTAAGGACAGACTGGACGTGGCACTTGGTCTAGTTGACATGGTGGTGTTGGGTCATAGGTTGGACTTGAGGATCTCAGAGGTCTTTTCCAGCCTTAATGATTCTGTGATACACACCTGATACCCACAGTGGGGAAAAGAGGTCCTGACGCCGCTGTGCCTTTTCATCACTTTTTCACCTCTTACGGTTTCAGTTAATTAATTTTCCCTGTGGACATTCGCTGCTCTTTGGCACTGAACCCACAGTGGCTCCTAAACTAGTAGAATCTCCCACTCTGTGGGTGTAGCACTTTGGTGCTTGTTACACACCTAATGGGGACTGAAGGAGAGAGAGCCACATCTTAATTATTATAAGTGAGAGTGTTAAACCCTAGCTGTGATGCTTCAACTTGTATCTAGAATGGCAGGTGTGAAGGGAAAAGTGCCAGTTGTGATGGCATGCTCATCCCACATGGTGTAAGCCTGGCTGGATTTTTCTGAGCAGCATTCCATGTCTGAGGTTGTGTGGATTTGCAGTTATCAATAGGTGCTAGGGCAAATAAAACTGTTCTTCCAGGGGAGTGATGTTCTAATAGAATCCCAGACTGGTTTGGGTTGGAAGGACCTTAGAGCTCATCCAGTCCCACCTCTGCCATGGACAGGGACACCTTTCACCAGCCCAGGTTGCTCCAAGCCCCATCCAACCTGGCCTGGAACACTCCCAGGGATGGAGCAGCCACAGCTACTCTGGGCAACCTGTGCTAGTGCCTCAGCACCTCACAGGGAAGAATTTATTCCTCTGTCTAATCTAAATTTCTCCTCTTCCAGTTTAAAACTGTTCCCTCTTGCCCTATTCCTATCTGCCTGTGTAAAAAGTCCCTCTCTCACTTTTCTAAGCCCTCTTGGCAGGGGGTAAATAACTCTTATCTATGCCCTTGCTTCTCCATAGGTCTGGTGGAGGTGGAGGAAGGGGAGGTGAATGGACAGGAGCTGTCTATAGCTTCTCACTCCATAGCCAGGATCTCCTTTGCCAAGAAGCCCCATGTAGAGCAGGTGAGTACACACACAGTGAGCAATTCCCGTAGCATTGCTCATCCCAGGAGGAGTCTAGTTGAGAGGATAGGTTAATTAGCGTGCTTTAATTACAGACTGCCATCAGGACTTCTTGGAAATACTGCATGGCATCCTGGCTTATCCTTTCTGTAATAGCCTTCAGAAGGTATTTTGTACATTATGAGATCCTGAGGGATCATTGAGAGAAAAACTGATGGGCTGAATCAAACCAGCCAGCCCAGAATCCTGTCTCCAGCAGTGGCCAGCAGCAGGTCCTTAGGGAAGAGGTTAGGAAAAATCCTGTCTGAATACCCTTTTATGGCAGTGGGGTTAGTTTTTAATGCTGGTCTTCTGGACTGATCGCGGTATGAGGGTACACACATAAGGTGTGACCAGGATTTGGCTTCATCAGGAGATTTGAGGAATGCTTGTCTTTCCCTGGAGCTCCACCTTGTCACTGCTGGAATTGCCAGTGTCACACCTGAGGTTACTGCTGGAATCCCCAGTGTCACACCTGAGGTGGAGGCTGACCAGCAGCCGAGGACAGTGAGGTTGGACAAGCTCTAACAACCTGGATTTTATGTGCTATAAAGCCATAGACAGCAGAGGCAGGAAGACCTATTCCCTAGGCCAGGGCTGTGTCATGAGTGAGTGGTTTAGGTTGCTGGAAGAATCACCATCAAAGGTGTTATCAAAGCAGGTTTAATATATAAATTTGTGAAAGCACAGCTTAACAAAATCTGATGGCAAGGTTTCCTCTGTTACCCAGGGATGATGCCTCTACCTGCACAGTTGGTCAAGCCCCACAGGGCAACCCCCAGTTGCCTTTCTCAAGGATTGGTACAGCATAGACAGGCTTGCAGCCTGCCTGGGTGGAGAGATGGGGTCAGTGTTACCCATGCAGCCCTCCCAGTGCATGGCAGTGCTATTCCCTCCTGCCCAGGCTGAGCCCCACCTGGCTGCAGGTGCAGGCTGATGCTCTCACCTCCCCATGTGGTAATCTCCTGCCTCGCTCTGAGGTGGTGTGGGGACCTGCAGAGAATGATGCCTCATCCACCTCCCTGAGCCTCCAGCTGGGAGCCACTCATGGATGTTGGCCTGTCTGTGCTGAGGTGATGTCAGCTGTAGTGCCAGGACCCTGTACCTTGCTCCATGGATAGCAGCTTGGAGCTGGAACTGTGGACAGGGCAGCCTTCTTTAGGGGAGAAAGCTCCTCCTTTACCTGCCTGGCTGCAGCGAGGATATCCCTTCCACAGCAGGCACAAGGATGGCAAAGGGAAGGTAGAAACACAGCTAAGGGATTTAGCCCATGGATTGCTGTTTGCTTGATTTCCTTATTCCTTTGCTTACCTCCTGTTTAGATTACGAGAAAATTCAGGCTCAATTCCGATGGGAAACTCGAACAAACTGTCTCAATGGCAACCACTACGCAGCCCATGACTCAGCACCTCCACATCACCTACAAGAAGGTGACACCCTGATGCTATGGGTGCTGGGTCCGAGGGCACGGAGCAGGACGTCGTGCTCCCGGAGCCGCGGAGATGGGGAGCGTGGCCTGGCCAGGCCCAGAGCTCAGCCCTAGGGCCCTGGAGCTGTCTGTCCTCTCGAGAATGTTGCTCAGATGTTTCTGTAATGGTATATTAAAAAAACAAATAAAAAGCTTTTATTTTTCTGGCTGTGTCCTTGGTGTGGTTGCAGGTGGGGTGTGCATCGTGCTGTTCAGCAGTGCTTGGGGAGAGGCTTTGTGCTGCCTGTTCCTTAGGAGGTGGTGGGTTGCAGTTTCAACCTCCTGGAGAGCCTGTATACCACCAGGGAATGGGTTTTGCACTGCAGGGACAAACCCTGAGAACTCCCAGAGCCTGTGCAATGAAACTCAGCTTAAACACAGAGAGGGAGCACCTGCATCCTGCTGTGAGACAGGGGAAACAGTTGCAGGCTCTGATCCTGATGGTGCTGACCAGCAGTTTGAAGGGAATTGGTGCAGAGCTGGAGGTCAGGGCCAGACCTTGCTGAGCTTCAGTGGAGAATATTACAAGAGTTTGGAGGACAACTGTGAGTCAATGGACAGAAGAGAAAGTGCCAACAGAGGGGATCGACCTCAGCAATTCTTTCCAGCTCTGGAATCACAATACAGCGTTTGACCTTCATGCAATCTGTCACCAAGTGCCTTGGCAATGAGGGAGGTAGAGGACTAGCACTGCTGCTGGTCTACAGCAGAGGCTTGGACCAGGTCACCCCCAGAGGTCCCTTCCAACCTGACACTCTGGGAGTGTGAGGCTGGCACAACACCCAGCACGGACAGGGATCACTTGGGAGGGAGCTGTGCAAAGGCTGAGGTGTGCAGCCCACTGCAGGATGGGCTTTGTGTCACAGAGGTGAATGGGGAGTGCCTGGGTGTGGCCCTCAGTGTCACCGAGGAGTCTGCTGTAATGTCACAGCAGGTCCCTTTCAGCGCCAGTGCTAAATACTGCCAGCAGCACCGGAGCAACTGAGTACTGCCACAGCTCACCAGACTGTGAACTGCCACAGACTGAGGTTCTGCCAGCAGCCAAGGACTCTCTGAGTGCCGCCAGCAGAAGCTAAGCCTTTGTGTCCTGCCAGCAGCACCCATCCAGTGCCACTAGCACCTGAGAGGACACCAGTCCGGGAGCACCGATGGAGGTGCCCAGACGTGAACGAGCAGCGCTGGGACCCAACAGGAGCTGCCCCATCTGCCTGGGGCCCCTGGACAGCCCCAGTGCTGTGGAGCCCTGCTGGCACGTGTTCTGCCAGACCTGCACCCCGCACCAGGCTGCCACCTGCCCACTCTGCCAGTTGCCCATCAGGGCCATCCACCGGCTGCAGGGGCAGGACAACCATCATGGGGTGGCCCAACGCTGCCAACGGCGGCAACGGTGCCAATGCCACCAACATTGCGGGGCAGAGGCAACAGCAGGAGCAGCAGGGCCAGGGGCAGCAGCAGGAGCAGCAAAGAGCTCCTGGAGTTTGTTGCCGCCGGAGGTTCCTCGATGGGGACAGGGAGCACAGCCCTCCACCACCAAGGATGCTGAGGAAAGAGGTGGGCTCGGGGGACTATGCACGTCACTGGGACGTGACTTTACATGAACCAGAGCCTTTGTGGGTCCTTTGAAATAAAACCTAGGATTGCTGGGAGAGGTCTCACCTGGTTCCTCTTCTACGTGTTTGCTCATTGCTGCAGGGCCGAGAGAGTGGGAGGAAGATGGAACTGGGGGAGAGGGTGAGGGATGGCTGTGGGAATTTGGGTAGACCGTGGGATATGGCTCAAGAACTGGTAAAGAGGAAAGAATGTGGATGTTGGGACTGGAGGAGGGAGGATATTCCTGATAGGTTCTGTGCCATTCTGCTCATCCCTGTGGGGATGCAGCCTGGGAAGGGAAAGTCCCCTGGGACCCTCAGTAGATCCCAGAGAGGATCTCCTAAGTGCCAGGGTGAGGAAGGAGGCCAGAATGGAGGTTTGGGGCAGACCCTGCTCTCCTTTCCTGGCCCCACACAGCCCCTCATTGTGGCGGGCTGCAACCAGGAGTAGCTTTCTAGGATGCAGGAGGCAGCCCTGGCACAGCCCAATGACACCTTTGGGGCGTGGGCTGAAGAGACAGGAGGGACCCCCTTCCCCTGGCAGACCAGGGCACGTGTCCTCCCTCACCAGGGCTTTGGAATATGGGACAGCCTGTGGAACCTGAAGCAGCACCAGGGCAGCACCACCCTGGCTTCTGGGAGGACCAAGCCCCAGCTGGAGAGGTTGAGAGAGACCTGGAGTGAGGGGCTGGTCCCAGTTCACAGCAATGGCAGGACGTTTGCTGCTCTTTGGCAGCAAAAAGCATTCTGGATCACAAATCTCAGTCTAGCTGAATGTGACCTGGGGCACAGGATGTGTGTGCAGGCACAGCCCCCAGGCTGCAGCCAGAGTCCTCCACGCTCCCACCTCCATCCTCCTGCTGTTCCCAAGGGATGTTAACTTGCTGGGAATTGCTCTCAGCCTTGCTGGTTTTCAGCTGGGCTTTTAGGAGGAGCAATGAGAACCACCCCAGTGCTGGCACCAGGCAAGTCCCACTGGACCACGGTGGTTTTAGCATGTGCAGAAATGAAATAAATGCCCTGGCCCCTGGAGAGTCAACCAAACGAGGGCGGATGAGCCTTCCCAGTAACATGTCACTAATGTGCAGCTCTGGTGTTGGCTCCTTTGGCAGCACAGACCTAATTACACCCCAACTGTAAAGCATTGCACATGGATTTATTTACTGCTTCATTAATGGCATCTGTTCTCCCAGCGAAGAAGCTCAGCTGTTTGTTTGTGTTCAGGGAAACCAGCAGAACTCACAGCATGGATGGTCCCTGCTAACTCACATCCTTGGGCTGGGAAGTGGGATAAAGGATGTGACCACAACACCATGTTTGCATTTGGACCCTGTTAATGCCTCACCCCACCACCTGAGCCCATGGCAATGTGAAGAGGGACACAGGACTTCACCCCAAACCTGAAGGACGTGGCAGCATCTCTCTTCCCAGCTGTCTCCCAGCACTGCCCCATGATTTCTTGCCACCATAAAATAACAGAATCATTAAGGTTGGAAAAGGCTTCTGAGATAATCAGATCCAACCATCAACCCAGCACCATGTTCACCACTAAATCATGTGAGTGCCACATCTACATGTTTTTGGAGCAATTCCAGAGACGGTGACTCCACCACTGCCCTGGGCAGTCTGTGGCAGTATCTGATCACCCTTTCCGTGAAGAAATTTTCACTAATATCCAACGTCCCCTGGCACAACTTGAGGCCATTTCCTTTTGTCCTGTCCCTTGTTCCCTGGGAGCAGAACCTGACCCCCTCTGGCTGCACCTCCTGCCAGGGAGTTGAAGAGAGCAGACAGTCCCCCCTGAGCCTCCTTTTCTCCTGGCTGAGCCCGCTCAGCTGCTTCTCATCAGATTTGTGCTCCAGACCCTTCCCCAGCTCCATTGCCCCTTTGTGGACACGACTGTGTTCTCTAGACCAAGAGCCATGGGGGACAGCAGGGGAGCAGTGCCACAGGACCCTCAGCTTGCTCTGAGCTGCTGCTCCCCAGTGTGTCCCTAGCACTGAGCCACTGCAGCCAAATCACTGCTGCAGCATCTGCTGCTTGGCTCCCATCCTGGCCTAGCTTGCTGCTTAGCACACCTCCCAAGGAAGTTGGATGCTGGGCTTGTGAAGTGAATTTTGTGGCACATGCAAGGTGAGTGACTGTGAATCTGTCAGAGAAGGCAGTTCACTTAGTGCATGGAGCATAGCAGGAGGAGGAGAGCACCTGGAATGGGGAGGTGGGAAGCACCAGCTGAAAGGCTTTTGTTGCCTGTGGTATGACATGAGGTTCCTTGTTAAAACTTCATACCTGGCCCATGCCAACTGAGGGGTGAGGTTGAGATTCAAGCATGGAATTACAGGAATAAACATTTCCCCATGGGCATGAGGTGTCCCAGCTGAATCAAGGCACCCATATGTGGTTCTTACACCCTTCGAGGGTTCAGGTACAACACAAATTGACTGAGCAGTAACACCTGCATTACCAGCTCCTAATGACAGTAAACCTGGCAAAGCTGCTGTGTTTCTGCAGTGTTCTGCCTCTTGTCTATAAGTCTGGTTGTCCCTAAGTCCCTCTGGCTGGAGTGATACCAGATGATGCTGGGAGAGTCTCAGAGCGGTGTCAGAGGGTCTGGGATGCTGTCATACCCTGCTTGTCCCAGGGATGTTCTTTATCAGCTTGGGGACTACTCTGAACTTGTCAGAAGCAAAGTCCTTCACTTCAGGGCTGGCCTATGCTTTCATTTCTTTTACTTCAGCACAAACAATACCAAAGTCTCCAGTAAAATTCCACTGCCTCATCACATCACAGTGTATAACTAGTTTATATTTACATATACATATATATATATGAATACACACACACACAGAGAGAATCATAGAATTTTAGAGGCTGGAATGGGGCCTAGAGATCATCCAGACCCAACCCCTGCCCTGGTTAGGGACACCTCCCACCAGAGCAGGTTGCTCAAGGCTCATCCAATCTGGAATGAAACACTGCCAGGGTTGGGGCAGCCACAGCTCCCTGGGCAGCAGCTGAAGTGCTCAGCTGCTGATGTGCTGATATCTAACCTAAACTTTCCCTCCTTCAGTTTGAACCCATTACCCCTTGTCCTATCACTGCAGCTCCTAATAAAGAGCCCGTCTCTGGCTCCCTATATATACACACACACACACATATACGTAAAGTTAACACACTTTCACAATACAAAGGCTGCTGGATAGTTAGGAGAGGGAATTTGCATCACACCCTCTAAGCCCAACCTGAGCCTCCATCTGCGCCTCCAGATGCCACTCCATGGAATCAACCGTGTTGGAAAAGACCTCCAAGATCATCCAGTCCAACCCTACTGTGGTCACTAGACCATGGCACTAAGTGCCACATCCAGTCTCATCTTTGAAACCTCCAGGGATGGTAAATCCACCACCTCCCTGGGCAGCACATTCCAACGCCTGAAATGTCGGGATTAGTGTTTCCCTGCCATGCTCTCTCACTCCGCGCGGGCAGCCCCGAGCAGCCCCAGCTCCTGGCATCGCCCCACGAGGGACTGCAGGGAGTGGGGACTATGACTCAGCCTCTCCAGCAAACCTCGGGCGCTGCAGCTCCTCGGCTGGGATCGCTT